CATGGGTGCTACGTGATATGCATGTTCTAAATTAGTGCCTGCTTGCTTGGCACCCTACAGTCAAAAAAACATGACGAGAAATTTGATTTGATTGCTTTAATGTGACTCTAAACTGTGGTGCAGCCCTGAGGATTCTCATTAGGTTCTCTAATCCGAAGGTGCATTGTGACAATGTTGGTACAGATAGTAATAACCAGATAATAATGCCAAATAAATGCAATAATAGAGTTTTTCACATTTTCCCAGAATCTTTTTTAACAGCTGCAGAGACCTGGATATAAGCCATAACCTTGGGTAACTCTCTTGACTCATTTACAAAATGATAGCAGGCATTTCAAGCTGTTCTTCTTTTTTTTACTAGGCAAGTTAACTACTGGAATTGTTTTTTATGTGTATTCACAAAACTACAGATGGCTTTGTACAGATCTGGCAGAGTGTGTGGAAAAGACAGACACTGTGGTTGGGAGCACCGCGATAACCCGCAGGTGATCTTATCCTCTTAAGTCAATGTGTTGACATACCATACATACAGTACACACACACACACACACACACACACACAAACACACAAACACACATAATAATATACTAATTAGACAAACATACATTGAATGACCCACATTTAACAGCGTATATATTTCCATGCTACTAAATTGTAAGCTTCCAGAAACTCATTCTCCGACACGGTTTTCAGAGGGATAACCGTAGAGTATTCACTGCTCATCGTCTTCCATTTTAACTACTTCAGAGTTTTCAGTTGTCAAACTGAAGATCAAAACTACCAATTTGACAAAATTAGAGCGCAAAAAAGAAAGTCAACAGCAGTCACGATGAATCCTGTGCTGAGTCCGGATTATAAGAGGTTGTAAAAGACAAGGCAGATAATCCACTAAGAATGTGTCACCTCTTATTACAGCTGTCACTCCTCAGCTGAGGTCAATGTGGTGGCTGCTGAACCTGCTCTAAAAGGGGAACACCGACACATTTTAGCTTTCAAATGTATAATTTTTATGTTTGTGAATAATAACTACTTGTCACAAACAAAAAAAAAAAAGAAGTTTTTTCTCTCTCACGATTTGTGATTGATGGAGACCTGGCTGCATATGAAAGGATGTGTATGACTCGTCAGAGTTCAAGAGGGTTTTCTGGAGAAGGAGAATTTTCTGGATTGCAGTTGATAGATTTACCACATCAAATGTTAGCCGAGCATTGCATAAATGTCAATGTCAAGTTAACTGCCAGAGGAGCAGCATCTGACTGGACATCTGTATGAACTCAAGAAAAGCTAGTTTGGTGTCTTTATTTTGCAACAGCTGCTGCTGATTACAAAACATATGTGACATTTGTCAATTCTTAACTTTTAACTATTTAAACATCCACACTATGATCTCTCTCCGTCTCTCTTCCCGTCTTCAAATTATCCACCATCACATTAAGGCAACTCGGGCCGCCTCGGAAACAAAATGGCATATAAAAAGAGGACCTACTATACTGTACTTGCAGACAACACTAAAATAAGCACAGGACTGCTTTAATCAGGCCCTGGCTACCACATCTAGTCCACCGACAACAATAACAGCCCAACCATTTAAACAGGCTGTGGCCAATGCTTACACGCAGAGACGGATGAGTTGAGTGTATTTTTTAAATCCCAGGCTGGTCAATCAAATATAAACAAAGAAGAAAAAAACACATCCATTCAAAAGTAATTTTCTTTTTCATCCACGAAAGGACTGAAGCATCAATCAAGTAATGTATATAGCATGCATACACAGAAATATCCAAGGAGCTTCATACGCTCAGAGATAAATATTTATATGGTGCCTGATCTGCACTTTTAGTACACAAAGAGCCTGGACTACATCACTGTGTGATGAAAACAAATCACTGTGCCAGAGGAAGATCGGTACACAGCACCTTAATAAACCATTAGCTCTTTGGGTGAGCAGTTTTCTTCCTCCACTGACTCTGATGCATAGATTTCTGCCTGGTCCATGCAGAACCATTTGTATGTGACTATGATTAGGGAAGCTTGGATTAGGTCTTATTGTGGCTCATGACACATGCACACAGACAGACACACACACACACACACACACACACACACAAACAAAATGAAAGCCAGCCCTGTGATGTGTACATTTGGAGAAACCCCAAAAACCTGATGACATAAACAAAGTTGTGTACTTCTTAATTAAACCTTCAAATACATGCAATGGGAAAACCACATAATAGTGCTACAAGACAGAGATTACATACATGATTGTAACCAACTCATCACTCATGTTAATGGAGTGGGTATAAAGAAAATATCTTGACAACGTGGGTGTTGCTAACTTAGTACCTTCAACAAATTACATCCAAACAGCAGAGGAAATGTTGAAACAAGCACCCTTTAGCCTAAAGCTAACACAAGAGTGGTGCTATTAGTTCAAGCTTGTCAGACTCAAACAAAAGGAGCATTTCTAACTGTGTTAAAGCCACTCTGATGCCTCTGTACATTTTGCGCTGGCTATTCTCCAAAGGCACTTTATTGTAACAGGCTTTTTTTCATTGTATAAAATCTCCTAATTATTGAGAGACAAAAAAGTATGGCCACTGCTAGACAATTTTTTTGCTGACAATTTTGGCCTTTCATGTTGGCCTTTAGGAGCTGACAGCAGGGAAATGCTCTATCCCTTAATGCAGAGCAAGTGCACAGGCTGAAGAATACCATGCCATTTGTCTTTGGGAGACTAACGAATTATCTCCTGTGCGGAGCAGGAAAATCACCCAGTAATTCTGCACTCATGGGCTACGAGGTAAGCCCTCTAGTCAGATAAAATTAGGATCAAATGTCTGGACAAGTTAACAGTAACAGTGACCACCTCGCCTAGAGGAAATAAATCAGCAAGCCACACGGGCAGTCACTGAGGGAGGCTAAAGAAAGGGCAACAGGTGGCTGTCAACTTAAAGAGAAAGAGGGTCATCATCCACTTAGAGAAGAGCAGCAAGTCTGTCTGCCACTCCACAGGCTCCACTAAGCTAAGCCAAGCACCAGCAGGAGGAGAGAATAAGGTGAAGCCAGTTCAGAGTATGTGTGGACAAGGTTCAGCCATGTTCAGCATGTGATTGGAAATATAGGGATCCAGTGTTATAAAATCAGGGAGCATCTCCCAACAGTATCATTAACAATAGGAACACAGAAATACAATAGAGTAAAACAGATATTTCCGTTCAAATCAACGTAGCAGGATGGTCAGAGCAGCAGCCATTTTTATGTGCAGCATTGCCACTGTGACCGTTGTAGTGGGATAAATTCTGCATTAACTAAATGCGGACTTGCTGAGGTGATATTTTGCAGTAACGAATAAAACGAGGGAGGCTAAAGAAAGGGCACAGCGAGCAAGAGTCAATTTGTAAAAATGAAAAAACTTCATCCATTCACTCTTGTCACAGCATAGGAAAGCACACTGCTAATACCAGATGAGTGACAGCTTTGTTTGGCTTATTTTCTGTAACCAGTGTAGCATTAAAGCATCGTGGAAGTAGCAAGCTGGCTAGCTGAATAGCATACAGCTGGCTTGGGAAGCCCCATTAGCTCATATGAGTCCTGGCGAGTTCGACCCACAGCAGCATCTGGCTGCTTTTGTCATGTCATTAAGGCAGAAACACAATAAAAAAATTCTTCAAGCATACAGCTGGCTAGAATTTCCTGGTTACAGAAAATGAGCCAATCAGAGGGCTGGCGATCAGCGGCAATGCTGGGTCGAACTCCCTAGCTAACAAGCCAGGCATCCCGCTGCATCCGCCCTCTTGCCGGCAAGCCTATTCCATGAATAGGAATTTAGCAAAGTTTGAAAACCCTCCAAATACAATATATCTTTTGGTGATTTACTGTATCAGTATTAGTTATAGTGTCAAGCACATCAAGAGAAATCCTCTTTGAGATCACCTTGTGCTTACTAAACCTCATAAAGTTATTTCTCATTCCTATTTGGTCTCACCAATAGTTTAATAAGCTGTCATGACTGAACAATCTCAATAAAAGAAGACCGTTTCCAAACCTTTCCATTGCACATCATGCATCAGCAGATAGACTAAATAACCATAGATGACTATCAGAGATAGCTCTCAGAGTGACTTCATTCAAATGAAAAATGTCTGGGACTTTGGTTTACTTCTACTGCAACAGAGAAATACGGCCCAATTTAAAATCTGACAATTTACAGCCTAATAGCTTTTCCAGGCATTGGGGTATTTTTACACTGTAGAAGAGGCACTGTGTGTCTTTGTGTAGGAATGCCTGCTTATCCACGTTCTGCTACTGACAGCTATAGTGCTCTTTGCTAACAAACCCTAAAAGTCACAGGGAAATTACTTTTTAAGGGCTTGTGCATTGCCCTTACATTATATGCGCATCAAGCAAGGTGGCAAAATCATTAACACCTATTTATCAGTCACATCTCACCAGAAAGATGTGTCAAAATTTACAGAAATCAAAATCTATATCCGAGTACAATGAAGTTGGTAAAAAGCTCAGGCAGTTAGCATCCTTAGTTTAATCAAAACCCAACCTCTGATCGTCTAGCGTGTGTGTGTGTGTGTGTGTGTGTGTATGCGTTTGCAAGCATGCCACGTGCATCCATGTTTGCATATGTTTTCACTCAGCTCTTTGGGCATTACTCAAAGACACCAGGAGGCCCAATAAAACAAAGTGACAGAACACAGCAACTCCAGAAAACATTAAATGTGTTCAGGCTTTGCTCCGTGCCAGTGGTCTGTTTCTCAGAGTGTTGTTAAAATGCTGTTAATTCTCGTTCAAATTAAAATTCTAGGCTATTTCCCAAAACTGCCACTGTGCAAGTTAAACAAGGACCTCAATAAAACAATCCCCTGGTAATAGAGGTAATTAATACTCATACCTCACTGGTCACATAGACGGAGAACCACAAATTGACCATCATAAAGTTAGAAATGACAAATGTACAGCTTAGATGAAAGTACAGTTTATTACCCACCGATGCAGGCATGGACTCTGACAGACAGCTGTGTTCGAAGAATAACGCTGTGTTTCTTGCCCCTCCTGTGAAGAAAAAAAGACAAAAGGAGAGAAAGAGAAGTGTTACAGGACATTGACCCATGTGTGATTATTTAAATGTGCGTGTGTGTGTGTGTGTGTGTGCTTTTGTCTATCTAATCTGAGGCAGCCTTCAATATGCCAGAGGCAAGCAAGCGCTGACAAGAAAATATACTGCAAAGGTGCAACATGATGACAAATTATACCGTTCAGTCTTAATCAAACCCTTCAATATTTGCCGTTTCAACACAACAGGGAACAGGTTGAGGAACAGAGCAGGGGAAAGGTCTCCAAAGGTGAAAATGAAGGATGGGAGTGGCTAAGAGGTCAACTCCCCCTCCTGGGTTAATGGAGATATGTCAAAACCCTATCACCGTCCTGTCAACTGCTTACAATGTCTGAATGACACTCCAAAACAAAGACGACAACAATGCACCCCGATTCTATTCAATGGTGAAAGTGAATGTGAGGGCAGTGTAGTTTGTATTTATACAAAGGATAATTTGGCTACTTAGAAGACCCGGCCCACATTTGTGTACAAAGTTTTGTGTAAAATTTGCCATTTTAAAGTATAAGGCTGGCATTATTCTATATTTATTTTAGTGGCAACAGTTCGCAAGAAAAGACCAAAACCAAGTGCAACCCTGTGAGTCGTTGATGTGTTTCTAATAGTTTTTGGACAACAAAGGACATCGACAGATATAAAATACAGATTACGATCAGCCTTATCCTTTAAGTGTTTTTCAGTCAGTCATAATGGATTCTGTCTGCCTGTGTTTGCATCTCAAATGTGAACAAACCTATAACAACATTAGAGGAAGATAATGACTCAGATGTTGTTGTTGTTGTTGTTGTGTCGTCTCAATTAATATGACAGACAAATGACATTTCAATCCCATGTTTAAAATTGTGGCGGTGGGGGCAACCGTTTTGTTTACATTTTGGATCACAGATTGTGCCTTCAACCTCCCGACTAGCTAAAGAAGCACAGAACAAACCCGGAAGACACCACTGTGGACAAGAGCACAGCAGGTAGAATTTCACAACAACCCCCCTCCTAATTCGGCTCTCTGACAAATAGGCTTTTATGCCGCCTGCACAAAGGCTGTGCGATTGTTCAGACTGGCATAGAGCTAGCGACAGACTGCTACTCTTAGTGACAATCAGGCAGCAGTGAGTATGACACGGAGAGAGAAAAAGCCTATCAGCACAGAAGGCAGGTCACACTGCAGCCTCACCATAAACAAGCAGCATTACTGCATAACCAATCCAGACAGACATACTGACATCTTTCTTTACTTGATCAGTCAGTGGAAGACTGCACTGACACACAAGCAGATTGCACGGCAGAGGAAATCTGTATATGCTCACTATTTATCAAATATATTATCCAGCAACAAGAAGGTGTGACACGGGAGCAACATCTGTCAACACGGACCTTCAGTGGTGAGATGAGACAGCAAACTGGAACTTAATCCTCCGTGATACTGTTGAGGCGAATGGGTAACCAGATCCATTTTGTCACGAAAGTCTGCTTTCTCTCTGCTCGGCTGCAACAGTATCCCCGTGCTTAACCAAGACCTGAGGCTACACAGGCCAACATGCTCATTATCAAATTAAACAAACACGCATGGTATATAAGTGAGGTTTTCAGACCCCCCTCACCAATTAAACATGAAAATTGGACACTCCTTCAGACAGTGCTGCAGGCCTGGAAAGGGTGGAGCTCAAAGTTAGAGGAATAATAATAATTATAAAGAATGTCAGCCGAAGAACAAATTGGCTACATGGTGGGATATAATACCTAGTGAATTCCCTGCTCCCCTTTTGGTCTTGTGTGCCAGAATGTTCTGGTTTCTTCTAGCGGTGGTGCTGTATAATCAACTCAAGCCAAGCGCATATTAAATCCGATTCATCATGTGCAACATCATGCTACTGAAATACCGTTGTTGCCACCATTTGAATAACCATGACGATAATCTCATGAAATGAATAAACTTGACCATTACCCAAAGCAATTGTTTTAAATTAGATGGCTTTATAAAGGATTAAATGAAAACATACGGTCATTGTTATTCATTCTGTACATGAAAAGAGGCAGTGCACTATAAATCTTTTTACTTAATAGCATAAATCTGCTATTCATCATCATCACTTATCAAATGTTGCAAACAGGAATGCAGTTGTGGAACCATAACAACTATACCTGCCAATTAGATACCCCATATTATTTTCTTCTCTATTCATCTCCAATCTCCCGTCACTGCTCTGTCCTACAGCGCCCTCATAATGCGCCGTCTTAATCCTAATACCCAGAGCAGCTGCAACTGGACCAGTGGATAATACCTGCCAGCTCCTTGCTCTCTGGCTTCATCTAAGGGAGCATTACTGGCACTGTTTATAAAACAACTCAAAATGTGTACCCACAGAAGGTGAACACACGAACTTTGGATCCAGTAAAGCCAGTACCTCTCCTTGAAGACCAATTAGTGCCAGACAAGAAGGCCCCACGGAGGTCTACTGACTCAGCACTTGTTGATGAACACTGCTTTCCTGCAACAGTGTCTACAGAGGGACCCGCAGAGTCTGAGTGAGCCGGGGGGGGTAAGGAGGTTGGAAGAATCTATCTACAGGCCTGCTTCACTAACCATTGACCAAGTCTCACACTCAAGACATGCACACATGCACACACAACCACATGCACACCGAACAATCACCAAGCGGTTCCATTCTGTTAATAATACCTGTTAACTGCTCCACAAACACAAGAAGGGACAACGGGTATTTTATTTCCCTCCTTTAAGTTTAAGCTGTACTGTGTTTGACAATTCCTCTGCTTCTTTTCAAATGCACTTTTTTTCTCCTCAAATAAAAATGGTGTGCGCTGTCTGAGTGTCTAACAAACATGAAAACATATTGAAAACAGAGCAGTCCCAAGAGAGATGAAATAAGATGATCAGAAACTCTGAATAGTTGAGGCAAGAACAGTTGGATTTTAATAGGCTCGACTTCTAACTGGTTGTTGAACATATCAAGAACACTCAATAAAACAAAGAAAGGCATATTCAGCAAAAAAATGTTGGCTTTCAGATGTGCTTTATATGTACCAGGCCAGTGAAATGCTCAAACGTGTCTGTGCTGTAGCAAGGTCAGCTACACATTTCACATGCTGAATCAATTATGACAATTGTAACAGCACTTCATGTTATCTTCTCTCAAGACAAGTCAGGGAATATGTCCTTGAGGATTTACAACTTCACTAATTATCTGCCAATTGATGTCACAGATTTGAGCAAAAGTGACATCAAGCCCAATGCATAACTCCACGCATGAGTTCGATATGCATTAACATGTTTCCTACAACATCAATCCATGTAATCCACAAAAATATTCAAGGGCTATAAATGTCGGGCCATCTGATCCTAACTACGTCCCCCATACTCCATCTCGGCTCAGGGCTACAAATACAGGAAATTGTGGGTACGGGGTCAATCAATCTATCACAGCTAGACAACTAAATGACACACTGACTACCTGAAAGTGTGCAGATACATCTGAGCACATGCCTGGGCTGTATGGCCAGTTAATAACAAAGTGAGACTGTATCGGAGATGTGACAGGGGATTTATGAGTCACAATCGCCTATAGCTGAGCTTCAAACACAGTGTGGAAGTGATTATGGCCCTTAAGCTCCCGTGACATGGATATCTCCTGGCTGTGCAGCGCTCTGTCAGAGAATCATACCTTAATCTGTTTGTAAAGACACTAGGTATGACACAGGCGCCTCAGGAATGTAACCTGTCATTAGTATCAATTACAGATGGATTCAACGGCCAATGATCAGGAACTCAGGCAGTATGTGAATATAACACTATTCTCTTTCCAAAGGTATAGTGGCTAGGCTTAAAGCAAAAACAGGTAATCCAACATTTTGCTTGTTAACTGGAGTTAGTGCAACACAGTTATTTTGATATCAACTTGTAAAACTCAAAAACGGGGAAATACTCAAATTATTTTCTGTAGGTTAGATGTTTTGGAGTTGGAGACTGCTGCTGACAGATTTGCAGTATAAAAGGAGGGTGAAAACAAAAGTAAAATGAAACATGTAAAGGTGAAATGCCTCATCAGAGCGTTTATTAGCTCAATAATCATCAAATCAACAACACCGAGCAGTGGGGGATGTAATCCTGGGCACATCGGCACCATAAAAAGCCAGCGAGCACAACTGCCCTATTTTTACAAAATAATTGGCTAACCACCTTCACCTCCAGCCTCCTCAGACAACACTGTGTGGGATTAATGACACACATCCATACCAGCCTGAGCCAGCTGGCACGACACAGGCCCTGGCAGGGTCAGTCTTCGACGAGAGAAGAAGTGGACCACTTTAACCTCACGGCTCTCAATAGCCTCCCGTAAGCTCCTAACAATTTCAGATGGAACTGGGAAAGGAAGGCACGCTCATCGTCCAATAGAAACGCCGAGCCAGAGAGCAGCTTATGAATTCCAAGTTAGACAAATAAATCCATACATGTTTGTGGTCCAGTCGACCAGGAGCTCTAATGCCAACCTTTGGTTCGTGATCGTCTAAAGTGGGCGGCACATGAATGATATATCAACATACTCCACCGTACATGAAAAAAACATATGGAGTCAATAAAGTAACTGGCCAAAGAACATGTATGAAACTAACACTATTTTAAACTTTTCTCTTCTTCATCCAGGTCTAGGAGTAATTTCAAGACATAGCCTCATTTAACGACATATTACCAGGAAACAATGCAGCCAAATTAGAAGTTGAGAGTTGCATGGTGGCGGGTGTACAATTGTAGTTTGGCCACTTCTAATGAGAGCACTGATGTAACATTCAATTGAGACGAGGGCAATTACTCACGAGACGCGTCTACACCTCATAAGTGGTTTAGATGACATCACTTCTGTCACCGGGCCAGGGAGGCCAGGTATTTTAAGAGACATGAATGGATGAATGCCATGGAAACTCTGAGACATTTAGTCTGTTACAGAAAAGGGCACTAATGATACCACCACAGAACTGATCAAATATATCAAGGACTCGTTTTCATCTATACAGCTATGATCAGCATAACCTATGCATAAACAAGTATTATAGTCAATCAATAACATATCCTGCAATGACATTGTTGAGATATTTGGTGCCTGATTCACAGATGAATTTGTGAAGTTAATTATATGAATATTTAATATTAACTTTTTTTTCGAGACCTATGAAACTGAGAGTCCCTAAAATGAGGTAAAGCCTGTCCCCTCGTTTGTTCGACAGGCCAAAGCGCCTACTGAGAGCAGCTTTTGAGCGGGAGAGCTCAATCAGCTGAAGCCCGGAAAAGGGATTATTTCACTAATTGTTCCTGAAACAAAATGGGTATCATTATGATTCAAATCACTGTAATAGAATCAAATATGGCAAGCAGGATACTTATATGTATCCCCATTTGTCAGGATTTAAATAAGGACTATCATTTGCCTCTTATCTTGCCTGAATGTTTATGTCTCTCTCTCGAAAAACAGATGATATTGATAATGTCTGGCTTTTAAGGCAGATAAATATGTTTCGTGTTTTTAAAAGTCAGATTGTTGTAATAAAAAAACCTTTCAGGTGAGTTACTCTTGAATAACACATTTTTATTTCTGGTTCATAACAGCACATTTGACCACTACAACATGAACAATCTAGTCCTGGACAATCAGCGCCTGGCAAGTAACGTACATTATCAACCTCCAGTGCCATGCTTCCTACGTTTACAATCTGACTCTTGGAAGTGCAAAGAATATATGACCAACTTTAGTGCAGTGACAAGAGAATGTTTTTCATGTCAGCATGTTGTGCATATGCAATTGTTTGCTTTTGTTTGGTGATAGTGAAGGAAAAGCTAAGAGGATCGAGTCAGAGGGGATCGTTATCTTACCCTCCTTCCTCCTGAAATCCCTCCAGTTCATCTCTCTGCTCGGCCAGGGTAGACTCCAGGTCCAGGTAGCTTCCATTATGGGACAGCTGAAGGGCACAGTCATCAGGCTAGATCAGAGGGAGACAAAGTTAAACACTGATCTGTCTTCAACCCTCTAAAGATCATGTAATTTACACATGTAAAGAATACTACATGTTGAGTAAGTACTGTAGTAGATTTATGAGTTCATGGTCAGTTGAGGCTGAGAGCCAATGGCCTGTTATACCAAATACTGCACCTATCAGATCAGCCCAGAACCAACACATCAGCTAAACAAGGTAAAAAAAAGGCAGATTTGGAGACTCAATGGCTTGTTACAACCAGTGGCAAGGAGACAATCCTTCTAGACATATTGCTCTGGAAACAGAAGAATGAAAGGGTTGAATGTCTATTTTTCAAGCAAAATATTAATTCATAACCACATACATAACAATCACGATGGGGTGAGACTTAGACTCTTTAAATGACAACTTCAGCTGTAACAACAATGTCGAAACAATATATTTTATGGTCGTATGCAAAAACATAACAACTTTGTTCTTTTTATATGGGTCAATGCAGAGTGTATTTGAGGTTTATGTCTAGTCTTCTGCGGACCATAGAAAGTTATTTTATCAGCTCCAGTCAGCACTCTACAATGACAAGCAGGGCAAGGTTGGAGAGAAGTCATGCAGATCTGGAGCGGTTTGGCAGTCTGGTGCCTCTTATCTGTCTGCTCTCCTGTCTGATAAACTATCCATGACACGAGATGATTTTGCAGAGGAGGTATGATTTGTCTGCTCGTGGATGGTTGTCAACAGCTGACTGTGGTCAAGGAGATGAGGAATTAGTTCTGTGTCTGTTCACTTGTCTGGCTGACCTCCAAATTGGAGATATTAACCTATTTATATTCCGAGTCTGTCAGCTCCACAGGACAGCGGCTCCAACGGTGAAGCAGAGGACGGGAAAACAAATACCATTACGGCAGGGAGGACATATGACTTCAGTGAGGAGAGTGGCACTGCTCTGCTCCATCGACAGCCAGGGTATCTAAAACAACCTCATATTGTACAATCCTGAAAATACACTGAGCACATAGAACATTTGTCTTCTCTTGTCAGCTCACATTGAGGGCTTTGTAAGATAGCGAAGTCTATGATACACTTTCATAAATTACCATGTACACATCCCAAAAGCGGTTTGCTCGATTATTTTCTCTGAAAAGAAGAGCAACGCATGTAAACACATATATAAAACATGTGATTTTTAAATTAGAGCGGTTATTGCCAGGTCTGATGCAGTTCAATTTCCATATGACAGTAACTTAATTGAGCGTGAAGGGAAAAGGCTGGGAAAGGCATTATGGGTCTGATGGCTTTGATCTCTTAAGCCACTCTGTTTGTATAACTGCACTGCAGCACTCAAGGACTGTGTCATATTTGAGCAGTGAAACAAAACATGTGGTTGGTTAGGATAACTCTTACGCTCCCTGACTATGAGCTGTCTTGTTGGATTTCCATGCATGGTAAACCAAATGATTATCTGGAATATAATAGTTGAGGAGCTTATAGGGCTGAACTTCTTTATTTTGAGAGACCAGAGATGAGGCGAAGCACAAGGCCTATGCAGTGAACATACACAGAAAACTTCAATTACTCAGTAAATCCTATTGTATCTAAGACAGTGATAAGCTCTAGTTAGATCGTTGTTGATGTTCTTGCAGTAAGGCGGACTGACAGATAAAAAGAGACACAGATAGAGAGAAAGGTAGAGAGGAAGGCAAACAAACAAAGCTATACTGTACACAAGCAGAGGAGGGAGGCAAGTGCTTCTCCAGATTAAAGGACAGATTCTGGACAGACAGGAAATCCAGGCATGTGGGACAAAGTTAGGCCCACTATTTTTATGTCGATGGACTGAGATGCCTTTAAAAAATAATGGGTGTGACAGTAATATGAAATGTAGCATGAAGGAGAAGACACACTAATTTATATACTCTTACAGTATATTTTTTTACTCTTTTTATGTCTTCAAATTCCTTAAATTCTGCTTTAAGCACCATTGGAGTTCATTAATTGGATAAAAGGGAAAAAAATGTTGTTCTCTTTAAGCTTCACGCTGTGTATCACAACCTGAAATAGACAAAACATTGGCTGAATTTGCAGCTGTAACCAGTAATCAGCTGAACCATGAAATGCCTTTCACCAGACACCAAACGTGGAAAAGTCAAAGTGAACCATGCAAGTCTGCCATTAATCAGTCAATATCTGTACATACTCGTTCATGTATTCACATATCCATCCTCTAACCAGTGGCTCTTCAGGTTTTCATTATATAATCAACCTGGATTACTGATTACAAGTCTTGCCACGTAAAACCGTGCCAGGTTGATGCACAAACGGCCCTTAATCCAAGAACAGTGCTCCCAGATTATCAGTAGCAGAGGCTTTCTTAGCTGTCCCCCGTCTAGGACTTGAACCCACAGTGGCCTGTGATGGCCAAGTCCAGAGAGGTAACCACAAGAGCTCTGCTCACACACTGAGGTCTGGCCTCTCCCTTCAACCACCATACTGTGGTCCACTGACCAGGGAAGCAGTTAAGACAGAAAGAGCTAAAAATAAACACCATGCAATTTCCAATTTAAAACTGCTATCTCACTCCAAATTTCTTTGGAATGAGAAGAGGAATACTGTGTGCAAGTTGCACATTGCAAACTCAATAGCCCAACAACATTGACTTTTACACAGTTTTACAAATGCTAACCCCGGTAAAGCTAAACCTACACATTTCTGTCTGTTAACTGCACCGGGCTCGAAATTAAACAAGATGAATTACACCTTAAAGGTTGAAGTTTGTTTGATAAAAGTGAAGATAGGTATTTGTGGTCTTTCTGTGAAGGCAAGTGATTAAAAACACATTAAAACACACTTGATGCATGAGAGAGAAACCACAATCCTCTGTCAAGCATGCGGAAGATGAGTCTGTCCACCGACGCTGCATTCTTCTGAAAGGAGCCCTCTGCCGAGACAACCCTTCAAAATGCAGAGACCAACAAAACCTCAACTCTGCATAACAATGCGCAAAAGAATTCAAAGGAGCTCTGACAGGCATGAAGGAGGAACCTGTATTTTACAGCATTTAACATAACTTCTCATTACGGGACCCAAAAATTGAAATTGGTAAAGTGAGAGAGTCCATTCTCCAAGACTTAGCCACATTTTCCCTCCCTTGAACACTGCTTTGCAATCAGATGCCAGGCCTCAAGGCCACCAAGCCACAAACCACAAAACACTGACAGAGAAGAAAGCATGTGAAGGACTATTGATCTATTGATTTACGATGACATTACAAGTAGATCTGGAATAACTCCAGCTGATGTTGAAGAGCCCGGTCGCTATGTCATCTGACAAGGACAATGCATTATTCATGACAGAAGAGTCGGGCTGAGTCAGGTGATGACTTGTCATACTTTGTATCCACAGAAGACACAGAAAAGTTTGAATATTTGAATCACCATTCAAGCCCGCGAAATATTCAACAGTGCTACTGCGATGACAATAAATTACATACTGCATTTAAATACATGGTGGCAGCACTTTTTCCGAAAGGAAACGGGGTGAAAAACTGACTTCAAAGTGTGTCTGCTGTCCTGACAAATCTGTTGTTGCTACACAACAAGCATTTATGGTTTAAATCCTTGTTGCTATAAAACTTAATCCTTGGTCATAAGGGCTTTTGATGTTTAAACCTCACTAACAGTTAATTGATGTTTGACTTTGAGCAGCAGCATAGCCCATGTGCCATCCCATGTACGAACCAATCCAACACACACACGTATAAACAAAAACCACTCACACACACACGTACAGATCACCCCTCTGGTGACTGCAGACTGAAGCTGACAGGAAGAGCCCAGAGACAGCATATGCTAGCTGTTTTGACTCCCTCGACACCATGTGTCTGCAGCGTGCTATTTATACCAGATTGACCTGCGCCATAGAGACGGAGCTCAAAGACAACAGATTTGCTATCGAATGCGTGTATGTGTACAGGGTCACGGCAAAGTGAGGGTGTGAATCACAGAACTCAATGTGGTCACACAGTCTTGTCATCCACCTGAATGTAATCTTTTATAAAAAGCACAAGGGCTGCTCCTTCAAGTTACTGCCGACCACAAATGCCCATGTGACCGAATCTCACAGCGCTGCTGAGCCTATACCACCGGTACTCCCTCTCTGTCTAGTTTGTGGTGCAGCCGGCCCGCTGCTAAACTGAGAGCAGTCGACTGTGCAAAGTACATCAGCTCTTTGTTTGTGTTTTTAATTCTGCCCGCTTCCCTCTCCTCTCTCAAACAGTGGAAAGCGTTCCCATCCCATCCTGCTGGTCAGAGTGAGTTGGCTGCAGAATGAGAGCCAGGCTTGTGGTGATCCACAGCATCCTGAGGCTTCCGTGACTTATCTTACCAGCTCTGCTCAAACAAGATGGAGTACCATTGATCTGACAGAATGAAGAAAGACCCTAATTAACTTTCTATTTACATGACTTCCCAACCAGACTAAGATGAGTGCTTAATAAAACACTCAAACTCACATCCTATGGCCCCTTTGCTTTGTTTAAATGTGAAGGTCAGTAGATGAGGCCTTCAGAAAAACGTGTTTGGATGCACATAGTGTAATCAGAAGGCAGAAACTGGCATTTCTCAAAAGAATTAGCCTTCAGAGGCCTCTGAAAGAAAAATAATTGAAAATGGGCTTCAGGTTTACATTATTGATGTCACTGGATTTCTTTAGGAAACATAAACACCATGCCAAAGAGGAACATTCAGTTATTTTGAGCTGCTTAAAACTGGCTGTGCAGTTGTGGATCTTGGGAAGACCAACTCTTGCAACCAAAACAGACATAATGCAGCTGACAAAACACAACAAGGTAGAGAGGCACTGCAACATGCATTCTGCTTCTGACTAAAAAAAAAAGAGAGAATATACCATAAAGGCAAGATGCCAAATAAAAATGTGTTGTGTTTCCACACAGATTCAGAAGTTGCGTTGAGATCGGATGGTTGCAAATTCAAATCCGCAGATCTAGGACAATCCGGGTGGGGAATTACCCTCTCCAACCCATCAACAACTGACCAACTGGGCATTTGACCCCCCCCCCCTTACTCTAAAATGGGGCTTTGTATAGACAACAGCAGAAGTGGTTTCCTAAATAAACTTCAAGCTCAGTTAAGCCAAGAGACAACCAATTGAAAGTTGATGGAAGCTTAAAAGCAAACAATGATATTAATTGAGTAAACCACTGTTGTATTATCTGTTTATTTCTCTGTTTTCTTTTCTCTCACACAAAAAAACTCCAACAATACTTTTCAAAGTTTCAAAAGGTCTCTCTGAATCAAGCTAATGGATATAGAACAGGTCAAACGGAGGGGATTGGTGTCGTGGTTGAGGTAAACATTAACAGATCCCTGCTCCTCAGACAAATAACGGATGTCTAAATCATTCCAACACCACTTACTGCCACCGGATATACTCCTTAATGTCATATTACAGGCCTATCTTACTGTCACTGTGCATGCAATCATCGTTTAATTAAAGCACATTGATGCTCCATCAGTCACTGGCTCTATCAATGGTCTATTAGGTTTGTTTAGTATAACCTCACCAACATGCTGAAGCTAATCATTAATTTAAGATTCTGTAGGTGTTACCTTTTCTCTGAGCTCATTGAAAGAGACATGAAGAAAAACATCATCAACAGATTAATAAGTATACTGCATACCTTCTGCGGGGCTTTTAGCAGCCTGTGGACTCCAGCAATCTGATTTATCAGAGGAATATCTTCCCTGAAGGTGTACTGAGGTGGCCGGGTGGGCTCGGGGAAGTTGGTGCTGTTAAATGGATCAGTATCATCTAAGACCTGCACCCTGCACATAAACGTAGCCATGATGTATCCATGCAAGCCGATTTTGGATGAGGAAAATAGTGGATGCGACACCACAGCCTCTGACAGACAGGCAACCCACCCCCACCCCCCCCCACCCCTCCCCCCTCCTCCCCCACACCCCACCCGCCCGCCCCCGGGCAGCGAACTACCGGCAGGTCTTCTGCAGTAGCAAAACCCTGCACCCTCTGTTATCCTTGGACCTTCTCCATTCGCTTCCCGCAGCGCGGAGGATCAGGACAGTGTGCACAACGGTCCAGAAGTAAAGATCCTGGGTACCTCGTTGAGAGATACGGTCAGTCAGTGCGCTGTGGAAATGAGCGGGGCGGCGGTATCCAAGGGCATTGCGGGCGTTAGAGGTGCTGAGGCAGACTGCGGACGGGACTGCCACACTTGGTGCCTGGTCTGTGAGAGCGATGGGAAGCGGCACCCTCCTCGAGCATAAACTCTGCCAGGGGGACACACAGCGGCCAGACGGCCGGCTCAGCTCATGTTACAAGCGCAATGGCGGCCTCCAGCGGCGAGTAGGAGAAGTACACACAAAATCAAAAACGCTGCACCGAACTGGCAGCGACTCAACAAAGCAGCGCGCGATACAATCAACTAAAACTGAGAAACACATTGTGGCTAGATTGATGGCAGTATATGGCAAATATACAGAGCTTCTTCATATAGCTGTATAAAAGAATATTTAAACCGACAGACAGGTAGATAGCGTAACACTTTATCCTGCAAAGACAGATGAAATGACATAATTCTAGAGATTTTGATAATCTCAAAATAACTGTATATCAAACATAAATAATAAGTACATAAACAACCAATAATGTGTTATTAACACGTCACAATGTAGTTGTAAGAATATATAAGAACATCTCAAGTGTTTATGTATTTGTCAAAAAGGATATGGCCCAACTCTTCTTGTAAAGCATCCATAAACAGTTAATGAATGATTGTCAATATAAACTATATTGTATTGAATATGAAAAGTGAAATATTTCTTATATGTATTAATTAACTGTGCAATGATAAATACTTCTTCTGACTCCATGGAAAATTAGCAAACTCCATCTGCTGACTAAGGCCATAAAGGCTGACATGCTAGGAAATGTTTGTATTGTGACACACTGTTTTATCATTCTTTAACTCTGCACCATACAATAAATCATATAAAAAAATGTTCTTCCAGTAAACCTCAGTGATTGACCCTTCCTAATCAGATAAGACTAGTTCTTACACACCTGATGCTCTCTGACGCTGCATCCTAGTCAATCTATTACAGAGGTCCAGTACATAACCAAGGATCTTATGCCGTGAGCCACAATTTGCATTCCAGCAATGCACAGTGCACTAGTGTATCCCAACAATACTACAGTGTCTGACTGATCATGAAGTTAAAACTCCCCAATCCAGGCCTGGAGGACAGGATATTGTCCCATCAGCAGCTGGACAAGCTGGAGGAGGAAGAAGCTGGAGACAGACCGAAATGGGACAACAAGACCCAGTACATGCTGACCTGTGTTGGGTTTTGTGTGGGCCTCGGAAATGTTTGGCGCTTTCCCTACCTGTGTCAGAGTCATGGAGGAGGCAAGTGGTGCTTTCATTGTTTACTGCACTTATTCCACATTTGACTATTTACAATAACACTGGGCAGAAAAAAAATGTGTATGTCATTATATCACCCAGACCAACTGGAAGAGTTCAGGAGAACGTATACTCCCAGACGTCTTTATTAACATTTCATTCACAGGCATCAGGCAGGTCTGTCTGCCTGCTATGTCATCAACTATGCATTTTAGATGACCTGTTGAAGGTTTGGAATTATTCCTAAAGCCCGAAGACACGTGACAGCCTAGAGACTGATAAATGCATATTTCTTTGTAGTATTGGGAACTGTTGGTCAGCCGTGGATTTTGTTCCCCCTTACATCCATTTGCTTTTATTTTTATGAGCATATTTTATATTTTCACGTTGTTTTTATGTATGTAAATTAATTGTTTGCTGTGGTTTTATGTTTACAAACTAGCTAGCCTCAATTTCCCCCAGGGCCAAATTATTTTTAATTGGTCTATATACAGTAGGATAATAGTTGACACCCTTAAGTTAAGTAATTACTTAACACTATCACAATACCACTGATCCAGCAATGACTATATCCTCGCACTATCTTTCAAACACTAGATATAGGAAGCAGCTTCTATCACATGAATTCACATCAGCAGTGTATAGACTCGTTAAGATGGCTTGTAACTTATCTGTCAGATAAGAAAGAAGCAGAAAGACATTTCATGCCCTCCGACGGCCAGGAAATCCTCGTAAACAGCTTACTGCAAAGGCTTGAATGGGTTGTTGCATTATGAAGTTACATGCATTCACTGTCGGACTTTATCTCTGCATGTGCTGACATGCATCCTAAATGATTAACACCCAAGAGATTTATCGCTAACATGACATCATTAACCGTTCCTTCGTATTTTCTTCCAGGTGCATTTATGATACCATTTCTGATCCTGCTGGTTCTTGAGGGAATCCCACTTCTATATCTTGAGTTTGCAATTGGTCAACGTTTAAGAAGAGGCGGTTTGGGAGTGTGGGCTGCAATTCATCCCTATTTGACTGGCATTGGTGAGAAACGTTTTGTTTCATTTTTGCTACAACTGGTGAAAGAGTGCCTTAAAAGAACCCCTTTTAAAACATTCACTGGCAGGTATTGCTTCCATGGGTGTATCTCTGACGATCAGTCTCTACTACAACACCATCATTGCCTGGATTCTTTGGTATTTCTTCAACTCATTTCAAGAGCCTCTGCCTTGGAGTCAATGTCCAATGAATGCTAATTTAACAGGTAATGCTACAACTGGTACTGTATTTCTTGCAGAATAAACTCTTGATTTTGGCGTACCAACACAAGCTGTTAATTCTGTTGTTAAATTCTGTCAGACATCGTCTCAGAGTGTAAGAGGAGCTCCCCTGTGGACTATTTCTGGTACAGGGAGACCCTGAACACAACTCCAACGATTGAAGAGGACGGAGGTCTGCAGTGGTGGATACTGTTGTGTCACGTGTGTGCGTGGTCTTTGCTCTATATCTGCATCATTCGTGGTATTGAGACAACTGGGAAGGTACAGCACATTCCTTACTACAACAAGAGAGACAATTTGAATTCAACTAAACAGTAATTGTGTGAATATACTTTCTTTTCCCGAGGCTGTGTATGTGACTTCGACCCTTCCCTACGTGGTGCTGACGATATTTCTGATCAGAGGGTTGACCCTGAAGGGCTCTTTGGATGGAGTCAAGTTCCTCTTCACGCCAGATGTGAGTTGCATTTCATTTAAATTCATTTCACACTGATTTTACTGCAGATAACAAATCAGAATGCATTCAATCGATAATTAAAAAAAAAAAAAATGTTTTAATGCTGTTTGAAAGTTAAGTAGCTACAATTGTATGCTGACATATTTTAAGTAAGGATTAATTATGTTTTAATGTTTCCAAAAAATAAAATGAAAAAAATCTGTTTGAGTTACCCTCACGTATTTGATCTTTTATGAAATGTCTTGCTATTTCAGTCCTCTGAAAATAACTCATCCATATTAGATGGCTCTCATATTATGGCCCTCGTTAGGGGTAGAATATAACCCATCAGAGCAATAACTAGTTGATCCATAATGGTCCACTGTACCATTTCTTTCAGTTAGCAGAACTGGCGAAGCCATCAACATGGCTCGATGCAGGTGCTCAAGTTTTCTATTCCTTCTCTCTGGCTTTTGGTGGTCTTATTTCCTTCTCCAGCTACAACTCAGTACAGTAAGTTATTTCGTTTTAACTGGTGTCATTTAAAGTTAACTCAAAGTAAAATGGCATTCTTCCTTTAGCAACAACTGTGAACAGGATGCAGTGATCATCTCTATCATCAATGGCTTCACCTCCGTCTATGCTGCAACGGTCATTTACACTATAATCGGCTTCAGAGCAACCGACAGATTTGACAACTGTATTTCTGGGTACGTTGTGTCTTTTTCGCTAAATTATATATTTAAACAGCTCATATATTTTTTTCTCCAGCAATACATCGACTGTGAAAACAGTTTATTTAACATTTAACTAAAATTTTGTGTTTTAGAAACATCCTAACATTACTAAATGTCTTTGAGCTTCCTGAGGGCAACATCACTGACAGCAACTACGATCAGGTTGTTCAGCGTCTTAATGAAACACACCCTGAGGTTATTCAAGAGCTGGATCTTAGGACCTGCAACTTAAACACCTTTCTTAGTGAGGTAAGATTATTTATGCACCAGGACTTTTCCATTAGCAAAGAAGCTGCTCCTTGTTAGTGGAAAATATACCAATGTGTATTTTCAAACTATCCCTGCTATGCTCTGCTATAATGCTGTGCTTTGTTTGGGTCTAGGGAGTTGAAGGAACTGGTTTAGCCTTCATTGTGTTCACTGAGGCCATCACCAAGATGCCCCTCTCACCGTTGTGGGCCGTCCTTTTCTTCGTAATGCTCTTCTGTCTCGGTCTGTCTTCTATGTTTGGTAACATTGAGGGAATTATAGTGCCACTGCAAGACCTCAAAGTGTTCCCTAAAACATGGCCAAAAGAAGCTGTCACTGGTAACGCCCACATGTATTCGTTCAATTTACATTAAGAGATTTCTAGAATATCTTAACAACTTTTTTTGGTTTCCTTCAGGTGTAACGTGCATGTTCTGCTGTCTGGTGGGTCTGATATTTCTCCAAGGCTCAGGGAACTATTGGCTTTCACTCTTTGACACCTATGGAGGATCCATCCCTCTACTAGTTGTTGCATTCTGCGAGATGTTCTCAGTTGTGTACATATATGGAATAGACAGGTGATAGAAAAAAAAATATATATATATATGTTTTACTATAACGGTTTGTTTTTGTCAATTAAAAGATGAGAAAAACTAAATTAGCTCACGGTATCACAAGTATCCCACACTATTATTGTACCGCCTTTATTAAAGGAGGCTTGTTAGTCTGTTAGTTTGTCTACACACTCTTTGACAATGGAATATATGTGTCACTTTCCTCTTAGGTTCAATGATGATATAAAGTTCATGATCGGACACAAACCCAACTTCTTCTGGCAGGCAACATGGAGAGTCATCAGCCCACTCATTATGCTTGTCATCTTGGTTTTTTACTTCGTCACTAAAGTGTCTGAACAGCTCCTTTACAAAACGTGGGATCCTGAATC